AATCTCTGTACTGTCTCTGTCTAGCTAAGATAAAGGGGCAAAAAGAAACAGGAAATGACTTCAAAGAGAGAAGTAGGAGGGAAGCCTTAAAGAAAATATAGCTGTAAAAATACAAGAGGCAAAAATGCACCTAAGTGCATCTGCTTCTAAAATGTCCTGTATCTGGAGGACATTTGTCTATATCTGAAGACATCCCTTTTTAAGTTCAAACCAAAGCTTAAAGTAAGTACAGTATCCACAAGAAAGAAAAAAAAACAGGAAATCATACTGAAGTTGATCATTGGACAGCAGGCTAAGCCATGTAGGGCATAATCTTTCTTATTTTGATAGAAGGCATTGTATTCCTTTTAGATAATACAAATTATGCATGTTCATGGCTGGAGAAGACAACAATGCTGGGGAAAGTGGAGGACAGCAAGAAAGGAGGAAGACCTAGAGAAAGGCACAGGCTTCAGTTTGCAAGAGCTGAGCAAGGGCTGTTGAGGACAGGACATTTTGGAGATCATTCACTTATAGGGTCACCATAAGTCAGAGGCGACTTGATGGCGTGTAACAACAACAACACAAATGCTGACCACAGTATAGAGCAAAGAGGCCCATGGAGGCTCCTGACACAGAGTAGCGTGCACGCGCACACACGAAACTTAATGTTAAATCTTGTTGAGTCATGCTAGTGTTGGCTATTTCTGAAAATTAAATACTCCCCCCACCATCCTTTAGCTCCGAACGGCTTCCCCATGACAAAGGAGATCCCAAGGGAACCTTGGGACTCTGGAAGGAGGAAGAACATACATCTTTAGTTGGAGTAGCTGGGTAGTTCAATGGCTACAGTGGAAGTCTGATTCTCCACTGTGCCTACCAGGAGTAGAGATAGCCTGTGTGGCCTTGGGACCTAAGTGATCCCAGGGCTCCCCCCAGAAGGCAGCACTTGTTAAACTACTGTACTTTATACGTAGAAAACTCTGTAAAGCCTGAGAGTAAGTTGAAATCAACTTGCCAACATGTAATTATTCTTACGGTATGGTGGATACAGTATGGCCACTCTGCCTGGACCTCAGGATGTTTGCTTGCTTGTTTGTTTGTTTGTTTATTTAACTTGTATGCTGCCCACTCTACCCAAAGGTCTCTGGGCGGCTTACAACAATTAAAATTCAATTAAAATACAACAAAAGCTTAAATGATTAAAATACAATTAAAATTGCCATCAGGACCCACAGTTAGTTATTTCAATTAAAAGCCTTCTGGAACAGAAAGGTTTTGACCTGGCGCTGAAATGTCATCAATGTCGGTGCCAGACGAATTTCACTTGGGAGGGCATTCCATAGTCTGGGGGCAGCTGCCGAAAAGGCCTTTTGTCTACAGGCCATCCCTCTTACCTCCTTGAGGGACGGCTCTTTCAAAAGGACCCCCTGGCTAGATCTTAACTGGCGGGTAGGTTCATAAAGGAGGAGGCGGTCTTTCAGGTTTATGACTCCTTCTGTTCCTCCCTAAGTGTGCCAGAAGGGCCTGCCACATCTGCTCCATGGGCACTTCTGACTGCTTCATATCGGCTGCCAAGAAAGTCAACCTGGGCTCCCACTCTGGCAAACTGAGGGTAGTGGACTACTATGTTAAATAATATCATTCCAAACTGGCTTAAGCTCCTGTTGTTTATAAATACAATTATTCACACTGGCTTCTACAGCCTCAGGCTGTCCCTCATGTTTTGGATTGCAGTTCTTGCCATAGGTCAGCTGGGGCCACTGCGCGCTGGACTCAAAAAACACTTGAGTGGGCTGGATTGCTTTTCAATGACTTTTAGATTTTTCAAAAATGATTATGATGGAGTGATTGTGTTACTCATAAAAGATGTTTAATTGCCTTCAGTATTATAATTGCTTGTGGTTTTTAGCAGCACAGGTTTAAAATTTGCTAAGCCACGTTGTGTTCCTACATTGGGAGACAGTCAAGCCATATAAAATAAATGAATCGTGACCCCTGGAGACTCTGGAATGGGTCTTAAATAGCAATGACTGGAAAAGTTACAAAAAGTAGCAGGTGTGGGTTTTGGGGGGGGCACAATGATTGACATCTCAAGCGGTCTGCAGAAGAAACGGAAAAGTATAACGTCAGACTGTCTTCAACTGCTTTTTCCTCTCCCGGCAAGGCGACGGGCGCTTGCCTGTGGGAAGAAACGCAAAGCCACCAACGAGCGGCGGCCAAAGAAGTAAGGCGGCCGGCCGCGAGATCCCGGCCCAGGCCTCGCATTGTTTACGGGGAGGCTCCTAGCAACCGAAGGCCCTGCCGGCCGGTCTGTCCCCATGGCAACGGGGCCGCGCGTGTTCTCCGCGAAGGAAGCAGCAGCAGCCAGAAGTGGAGCGATAGCTGCGTGGATTACAGCCGCGGATACCGGGGCTGGCTCAGGCGGTAAAGGAACGAGGGGCTACGAAGAACCGGGTTTGTATTCTCATCTCCCTTCTCGGGGCTGATTAGGATGCCCGCGACCTGCCTTCCTCTGTTCAATAATAAATACTGTACTATGGAAACTCACTCTCTCTCTGTAGAGTATTTTCCTTATCTATCTGGAGCGGAGTTGGGGGGAAGTTACTTTTTCGTACTACAGTTCCCGAAATAGCCATGCTGGATCGGGGATATGGGAAACCGTCGTCCATAAAATAATGTTTTAAAATGATTATAGGTCTTCGTGCGTTATTGGGCGAGGGGAGTGGGACAAGAAGACAGCCACAAGGGGTGGGGGGAGGATTTGAGGGGACTCTGCCTGATATTAGGGTTCTGATATTTATGGTGTTGGAATTTGGACCACCCGTAGTGCATAATTTCAACCTTATCTCCCCCAAACATGTGCTCAAAGTACACTTTGTATGGTATCATAGACAGATGATGATGATTATGATTATTATTATTATTATTATTATTATTATTATTATTATTATTATTATTATTATTATTATTATTATTATTATTATTATTATTATTCAAAAAACACCAGGCACAGTCAATCAAAACTATAACAACATTGCCTGGTATTATATAATAGATACGTACAAGTTTTAACCAAAAACCTAAGTATCTGTTGAATATCAGCACAGTATGTATGCTGTTCCTAATATTGCCGTTTTTTGTTATACATTTTTCTTGAACTTGTTATCCTTTATGTTGTAAGCCGCCTAGAGTGGTCGAAATGACTAGATAGGCGGGGTATAAATACAATAAATAAATAAATAAATAATTTTGTACCTCTGATTTCTGAGATCTGCAACTGTTTACAGTACTGTGTGAAATTTCTTGCTATTGCTCCCAAAGCAGCAGCATCATCATCATTATACAGTGGGATAAAACCTCTGTCTCTGAAGAAATGCTAGTACTGTATGCTACCGTAGTACAGTACAATAGTATCAGTCAGTAATGTTGCACTAACAGCAATCTTGCTGATGCTATAAGGAGACGTGCTGGAAGTTTGACTGGGATAACAAAGGGGAGAGGAGGGTTGTAGATGATAGCAATAGCCTTTTATGAGTTCTTTTTAAGAATAACTAGGAAGAGCAGATGTCAAAGAAAGCAGGCTCTCTCTATATTTAATAATGGCAAAGAAAAGGAAATTTGGCAAGATATAGCTTCTAGAAGTAGAGTGAGGGCTTATCCACAGCGAGGCAAAAGTTTCTGGTTCAGCACTATTCCTTTCTGTTATTTTTTCCACTGGTCAGATGGTGCAAGGCTGAATTTGATCAGATCAGTGACATGTCCCCTGAATTTTGTGCTTTTTCGGTGGTTATTCTTTCTGGAAGGGTGGTAAAACTGAACCAGGCTTTGTTTCAGGAGGCACAGCTTAGCACTTGCAGCACTTCCTGTGCAGAATTCATTTCCATCTCAGGGATTTCCAGTCAGAGGCACTTAACTAACCTTCTAATTGACTTTTAAAAAGAAGGGGAAAATCCAGAGGCAAAGGAAGGAATTTGTAAGGATTTCTTTCCTGGGAAGCCTAGAGAAGCAGTCTTCAAGGATTTGGCTTTTGCAATGCAGTGTAGTTGGCAGTATCAATAAGCCCCAGTCCTTTTGGGGATGAACTAGGCCTATTTGGGCTAATTCACTGCAGTACTTTGACCAGTCTGGAAAATCCCTAAAATAAATGATGTAATTACCAGGGAAGTAGCTAGCATCTTTAACAAACTTTATTTGGATGTAGGCCACTTCTGCCATTCAAGCAATGGATTTATACATACACTAATGCTGGCAGACTAGTTAGACACATCTATTTGCAACTTGTACAAGAATCATGGATGAACAGTGACTTCAGCATTTATAAAGGTAAAGGTTCCCCTTGATAATTTGTTCAGTCGTGTCCGACTGTAGTTGCATGGGAGATGTTTGTCGGGCAAACAGATCAGAATCTATTGACAGCTTCAGTAGGTAAATGTGACAGTATCTTAAATTTATTTCCTTTTAAGTACATCAGGGTTCATGTTTCACTAATGTGGAGTACAACATATACTGGATTAAATCTGTTGGTCTCAGTTAGTGTAGACCCACTGAATCTTAAGCCAGCCATTATGTGCATCTATTTATTCAGTAGCCCAAATCCTGTTGCTTAGTGCAGTATGTTGCATTATGGTAGGCTAATTAAATCAATGAGGATTTAGTAAATTGAATCCTTCATAAGTTCAAATGATTCAAATGGACCTACTTTAATGGAGACTTGCTATGCTAAAGTTAGTTGCAGTAGGAATAGTAGGAGGAATTGACTCACTAAATCCCCATTGATTCAATGAGCCTCTTTTAGTTCAACTTACTGTGCTACTCTACTTTGCTACACAGCTTGCTATGCTAAAGTCAGTTCCAGTTAGAGTAAGTCCACTTGAATCAGTGGAACTTACAGAGGAGACCTACCAAGTTACAATTGATTCAGTGGCTGTACTCAAGGGTGATTTGCTAATTAGAATGTTTTGTCTATTCATAGAATTATAGAATCATAGAATAGTGAAGTTGGAAGGTGCCTATAAGGCTATCAAATCCAACCCCCTGCTCAATGCAGGAATACAAATCAAAGGATTTCTGCCAGGTAGATGTCAAAGTTTTTCTGTTCTTTGTTTATATTATATTATTTTATTTATTTTGTTTTGCTTTGTCATATTTTTATTGGGCTAATTCACTGCAGGATAGTGCTGTGCACTAACGGAACAGTATACTGTATTAAATTAATTAAATAATTATGTAAGCAACAGGATTTTGGCTAGTGTGTCTACATCTGGTAGTAACAACTGGATTTAGTTCACTGTTTATACGTATTATGTACTGTATATGGAATCCACGTATAATGTACCATTATATATAATAGATATTGTTTGGGATTGTAATGTTTGAGTGTTGTTGTTGTTTCCCAATTTCTGAAGGTACACAACTCTGGGATGAGCTTATGCCATGGGAGTGGCATTGACAAGAGCAGCTCAGTGGACAGCTGCTGGTTCTGGGACTGGCACATTAGAGATTACACCACTGAATGAATCTCTCTTGAATGAAATCATTAAATTTACAGAAAGCTTTAGCAGCAGGCATCCTCAAGAAGCTGACTTTGTCTTTAGGGAGCCACTTGAATGGCAGACAAAACTAGAACCTTCAGCATTTGAAGCAGGCTATGACGTCCGGTAAGACTGAGGTCAGATAAACTGATTTTGAAAAATAACTAAATGTGAAACTCACTTAGATAAAGTGTTGATTAGAATCAGAATTATTTTATCTTCTTCTGGGCTAAATACAATGTTAGTCCTATCTGGAGGTGACCTGTTGAAATTTGTGAGATTTAAATACTTGTGACTAGCATATTTCTTTCCATTTAGTGGAGTTTACTCTAGATGGGATCAACATTAGATCTTTTGTATATGTATGCATTTTATGTATATGTATACATTTTATTCTGCCCATTTTCTGTAGAAGATTAGGATGTGATTTGTTGTTGTTTTTTGTTTACCTGAGGATTCTTAAAAAATTTCCCCCCCAAAAAATGGATAGGAAAACTACAGCCCCAAAGTTGTAGTTTTCCTACCCATTGCACTATATATAGGGAACCCTCAAAGAACTAAACTTTCCACAATAATCTGAGGCTACCAAGAAGCAGGAAATAAGACCCAGACAGATTGCTATTGTGCTCAGCTGAGCAGTGCAGTGGCAGAGGGGAGGAGGAGGCCTGGAGCATGTAAGGTCAGGCTTATGAAGGGCTGCACAGGGTGGGAAACCCACGAAGGGGGGGCTTTCTGTGTAGGTCAGCTACACCAGGGCCCCCCAACCCCGGGGCTGCAGACCGATCCCAGTCCGTGCCCTTGGCAGGACCAGGCTGTGGAGACAGATCTCCTGCCCCCCCTCACACACAGACGCATGCCCAGACGCCTCCCACGCATGCACAGATGCACACACACACACCCATGCATGCACGGACACCCCCACATACACACATGGATGCCCCGGACACCCCCCACATGCACACATGGATGTCCCCATGCACAAATGCCTCCCACACATGCACAAACACCCCCCGCAGCCCGCCCCCCACATGCTAAACCAGTCCGTGGTGTCAAAAAGGTTGGGGACCACTGAGCTACACAGAAAGGCCCCTTCATTTAGAGATGGATCCGAACTGAACAAGCCATGAACTGTTTTTTGTTTTTTTATTTGCTTTTAATTTGGCATAGTTCATGGTTAAACTGAACAAACCATGAACTGTTTTTTTGTTTGTTTGTTTGTTTGCTTTTAATTTGGCATAGTTCATGGTTTGTGGACATTGACGAACCATGAACCGTCACTAACTGCCATTGCGCTGGTTCGTTCCCATCTCTAATCCTAATCCTGTGGTGCTTTACTTATCTTTTAATTCATTTGTGACAGAAGCAATCCAGTGGTGCTCCTGGAGTGGAAGGAGGTTCAGTTGACAGGGTGCTGTTGTTGCCCTCGGGAAGCCTGAATGTTGATGGTCCTCACATTCTTTGGAGAGGCATCTTCTTTATTGCCTGATTAATTAATTATAGTTATTTATTAAAACTATCTGGAGAATTTTGGCAGCTTATAAAGCCTGCTTTGCCTCCGGGCTAATATTTTCCCAGATCAGAAAGAAAGGTATTGATTGATTTTAAGCCTCTGCCATGTCCTCTAAAAGTTGGTGTGAAGGGTGGACACAAGCCTCCATCTCATCATGGACCTCTTTTCTACTATTCAGATCTCAATTTCAAATATCTCTGGCAAAGTCTTCAAGTTTTATGTATGTTTTATTCCAGATGATTTTTAACTGTGTTTTCATAGCTGCAGCCTATTCAAAAATTTTTCCAGTTATTATTTCTTGCTTATTAAGGTCTTATTTTATTCTTCCAGTGAAAAATCTGTCCAGTCTCAAGAAACAGACAAAGATGGGCAGCCACTGCTCATGCTCAGAGGATCAACAATCAGTGTTCGCAGTTTTGGGCAGTTGTCCCGTTTACTGTATGTGGCTGCAGAAAAAAGGCTAAAAGAAACACAGGCATGCCTTGAAGGTATTTGGGACTTCTCTGTCTGTATTAGGGGGTGGGACTTTTTGTTTTTAATTTTCAGGTCATCCCAAAAGAGAGCCTTTTAGATAAAGGATCTATATTAATAAAAGAGAGATACATGGATTTTTTTTCATACTTCCCTTCTGTTAATATTTTCCTTCATTTTTTAATCTGTCAAACCCACCAGGAAGTGTATTAGTGCCTAGTGTTTTGCGGGTTGCTGTGAGCAGCCAATCAGAGTGTCTGGCGGGGGCAGGGATTGGAAATTAAGAATTCAAAAATAGCCTGGATTCCTTGGAACCCTGATATTCATTTACTATCTCTGAAGGTGGCTGCCTTTGCCCCACCCGGTCCTTGCCACTGCTGTAGCATCAGTGCTGGACGAGAGTCTGCATGTGGTACCACAGTGTTGTCTTGCTGATGCAGAGAAATGGAGATTTTCTTTGGCGCCGGAGCCAAAGTGACTGGCAGCAGCATCTGGTTTTGAGAAGCAGAGCAGCCCATGAGTCAAAATTAACACGCCTCATCCCATAGCAGCTTGTCACAGAGCAGGAAAAGAGACAGAGGCGGCAAAGCTGGCAGCATGTGGCTGTTGGACCTGGCTTAGCTCCCTTCATTATTTGCTATTGTGGCCACAGCAGCCACCAATCATTCTGGTAAAAACTCCCGGCAGGCTGGCAAGCAAGCAGACTTGCTGGCTTTCTTCCTGTCGTAAGACTGGGCAGTGCTTCAGGGTAAGTTAAGTGAGCCTTGGAGACTCTTTGTGTATCTTTCTTGGGAGAAAAGGATTTGGGCTGGTTTTCTGGCATAGAGATGAACACATTAAAAGGCGAGAAAGGGGATGGGGTCGGAATGTTGAGAAGTCAGCTTGAGAGGAGCTTGGCTTATCTACGTGTTCTTGAGCCTTCCAAGAGCTATCACTGGTTGTAACTGGGCAGAGTGCCTTGCTAGAAGGACTCATGGACTTCATCCATCAGTGAAGACCAGCTCCTGGTGTGTTGGGGAGGCTCTGTGCCAGGGCATAGAGTTGTGGCATTTCACAGATAATAGAAGGAAGGGGTCAGCTGGGGAAGGAATCCAAAATCCAAAAAACTCTGAGATGTGCCAGGCAAATACTTTTAGGAGTCAAAAGCGGAGGGGTAAAGTGGTCTCTGCCTTTTATTCTTTTAACTCTGAGAGAACATGTTTGGGGGTGAAGGTGTTAGAAATGGAAGAGCCATTCCTTTCCATGTGAAATGAAAAGAGCCATAAATGGAAGACACAAAAATGAATGAGGCCTTCCTCAAAATAACCCAAAATAAATTGAATTTGAAAGTCTCATTTCTCCTGCATGCACTTGCTCTGTATAACATGGAGCTTCCAAATTATATAAGGAGACAACTTTTCCCCCACAACTCTGTGCTGTGAAATGTTCTGGCTTTTCTGCTGCTATAATAGTTACCTCAAAAGAAGAATTTTTTGGTCATGTACCACGTCCTTTGGGGAACCCTAAGGGGAGGTGGTTTATTTTGATCCAGTATCAGAAACAGTATGTTAAAATTGAATGGTCCCTAGAGATAATTAGAATTTTACTACATTCCAATTTATAAATAGTTACTTTCAGGTAGAGCTGAGCCCATTGATTTCCTAACATGTGCTCATATGAATTACTTATAGCCAATAGAGACCCTATTGTGAAAATTCTCGGCCCTGGATATGGGACAATCGAAGGAGAGGATCTCTCCATGCTTCGTTTACTCGACAAAGTTAAAAAAGATGATGCTTCTGATAATGAAATTAAAATGAAAATTTCCCTGCTTCTCCAGCAACTTGATATGCAACTACTCAACAGCTCTTTAAAGCAGATTTCACAGTGAGTAGCGTTTAGAAATTGCATCCATTTTATCAGCCTAAGCCTTCCCAGAGTAGCATCATACTTCTTAGTTTTATTAGTTTCACTTTGGAAACCCAAAATGCAGAACCAAAAGGTATGGAAATGTTTGTAATCTTTTTCATAATATTAAGGAAAGTTTTCTATACTATTTCTATAGTCTTATCTATCATTTTGCTAGCATTTGACCTTAAGATCAGTCAACTTATCTTCACTTTCTCAAGGCAGAAACATATATGATCTGTCATATGATTTGAAAGCTTATTTTAGTTTGGATGATTCAGACAGACTTCTGCTTTCAGGAAGGGCATACCCTGCTGAAGTCCTTAAAACCAATCACAAAACAAAGCAGACCAAATTTGCAAGAAGCTTCTGCTGTGACACTTACAAACAGTCACAGTCAGCTCTTAAGGATGTTATTTTCCTAACTGCAAGTGTTCTATGACATTGGCTTCTGCTCTGAGAGTGTAGGAATCTCAGGCGCACATCAGAGGCTAATGAATCACACAGGTAATAAGTCTGGTCAGTTTGTAGAATTTTGTTTTTCTGAAACATGGGCTGATTGAAAGAAAAGGGAATGCGCAAACAAAGAAAGAAAAACAAACCAATGTTTCCTTTTGTTTCTTTCCTATTAAATGTGTGAATAATATCTTCTGAGTTACTGGAATGTACCTAACTTATTCTAATTACAGAGAAGTGAGGTTAACCCCAGCTGCTGTGAAAAATGAAATAGAACTGCTTAAACGTTTCTCTGGGACAACAGAAGATGCTGTCCTTGATTCATTGGAATACACATCAGGTGCAAATTCTACTTTTTATTCTTACTATGTTTTCGAATTTCAACAGACAAGAGCAAGCAACCCTAATCTTTTTGGGGCCATGAACATATTTTTAAATCTCAAACTGTCATAGATATCTCCACAAAATGGGCGCTACGTACATACATGTGCATAACTGGACCCTACAAAGGGGAGAAAAATGCATCTTGGACTACCAAGAAGGCCAACTGGAGACGCTCAGAGACAAATAACCCCCCTCCCCTGAAACTAATATCATAGAGGGGTAATTTTGGGCCCAAATGCACTAACATATATAGCGAGCCAATTCTACATATCATGTCTAAGTGAAATAAATCCCTCAAAATTATTTTATTCCCCAGTTAGATTATCCACAAAATGTTTTTCTCCCAATTGTCACCCTAACCCATTGCTTTTCCATTTGTTCTTATTTTGTTTTCCCCCCTGCTGCCAGGGAAGTTATAACACTTCATATACCCTGCCCAAATGTTCTCTTCCTGCCAGAGGTGGATGCACAGTCTTGTACAAACTCCATAGGTACACCCCACATCTACCTTTGTTGCTTCTCCTGATTTCCTATTGCAACTCTATGGCTTTCTTTTCACCTCACTGGACTCCATCTGCCTCCATCACCTAACACCCATGTTTTGTTTGGTCCCTTTTACATTCCCACTCCCACTTGCTGCTCCCATGGTTTATGAGCCCTCACCACCTTCCATTGTTTTCCTGTCTATCCTTAGAAGCCCTGTTAATTCCAAACCCCTCCACTGTGCTCCCTGTTGTCTAGTTGCTGTGTAACTTTCATGGCCACAGCGACATTCTTGTGCCACCAGGAAGTGCTTTCCTTGTTTTCTTCTGGAGGAGCAGAGTGCTCTGTCAAGTGCTGTCCTGGGTCAGACTCTAACTGTCCTACTGTCTTCATTTTCTTAGAGTGAGCAAGTTAAGACATCAGGGCAGGAGCAGAAAAAGAAGGGATGGATCTCTGTGGTCCATTGAGATCACATCTTGAAAATGTGGCCTGATACGTACAGATCGCTTCCGTGAGTTTCACGGTCTGACTGTTTGCTATCAGCCCAGGTTGAAGATGTTTTTATAGCCGTAAACAACTTGGGACCTGTTACCAGATGGATTGCTTCCTTCCACATCAATCAATTTGTTCCTTATGGTCATCTGGAGGGGCCCTCCTGGTGGCGCCACCTGTTCCTGAGTTCTTCTCCTCAGTCCTCTGGAACAGAACCTTTAGCATCTTGGCACCCACTACATAGAATGCCCTTGAGTTGAAAAGCTGACATATCATGTTTCATTTTAGATGCATTTTAGAAATATATCCATTTATGTATATCTTACCTGTGTATCAGATACATTATCTGTTTTGTAGGTTACATAAACACTGGTCCAAATCTTCTTGTGTAGTTACATTGGTGTAATGCTAGTTCCATAACTTTTGGAGGTGTATTGCCTCAAGCAGCATAGTCGATAGAGACATGTGTTGTATGCTGAGTTGACTGACACAGCATTTAACAGATAATGTCTACACTGATTTCATCTTTGATATAAGTTAAGTGTTTTCCTTCTACTAATGAGTTGTCCCACTTATGCAACAGATAATGCCTACAGATGTTTCTTAACTTATGGCAATTCATCTCTAAAAGAATTGTCTTTGGCACAACTGTGTGGCAGGATTTTGGCCACTGATAAACAAATTAGCACACACATAGTCAGGTGGCTTGTTAGTACTCATTAAACAGGAACATGTCTACATATCACTTGTGTTCGCTCTGAAATGATTAGATGGTCTGTTTGTCTTAATACAGTATTTCCTGTTTTAGCCATGTTCTTAATAGAGCTGGAATAACACATTGCTGTTGACTGATTGCAGACTATGAATTTGCTAATGGATGCCGTGCCCCACCTTGGAGACAGGTCCACGGGGAGATTTGCTATTTGACCATTAAACCACGTGACACAGATGCTATGTATGTCACGTGCAGCACAGCAGGAGTATTTTTAAATGGAGTAAGTTATAATTGTATTCAAGGGCAAACAGTGGTGAAAATCATAACTTGTTTCTAATACGTGTAAATAGTTTATGTATAAATACAGCCTGTTTGCATCCCAGCTGGTTAACTGAAAGCAATAACTTAGATCAGAGGTGCAAAGGCTTATTAGGAGGAGACTGGATCTTAACTTCCAGGCCGTCTGATAGCTCAGATGAGACCTGGACCATGTCACATTGTGAGGCTGCCTCATTATGTGGGGAAAAGAGTAAAAAAAAAATTATAATGTAAACTTAAGAATGGGATTTGAAAGAATTATGCATAGAATTCATGACTGTGACTATCGTGCATTCTTGACTGAGATGAGGCCTCCCTCTGAAGCAGGGCCAGGACAAATAGCTCTGCTGGCCCTTCTTGTAGGGCCTTTCTGCCTAAAACCTTCTGTAGGTTAGGTAATGTCACTGGGTATCATCAGGTTCCTGGCTGAAATGCTGACTGGGGGAGCTAGACTTAGCTGGTGAAACTGGTTTTAGTTTGGCTGGTGGAGCTGCTTTTTGGGGTTTTTCCTAAGTACTATATGCAATGAACCCAGTTCCACAATGTAGGTGCTGATTTACCCCTTCACACAGGATGAAAAAGTACTTTATTAAGAGAGAGGCTTTGTGGTTTGCTTATTTAGACATATTTATTTCCCAAACTATACAGAATGTGTATTCGCGAAGGCTTTAATGGCTGGGATCTAATGGTTGTTGTGGGTTTTTCGGGCTCTTAGGCCGTGTTCTGAAGGTTGTTCTTCTTAACGTTTCGCCAGTCTCTGTGGCCGGCATCTTCAGAGGACAGCACAGAGTGCCAGCCACAGAGACTGATGAAACATTAGGAAGAACAACCTTCAAAACATGGCCTAAGAACCCGAAAAACCCACAACAACCATATACAGAAAGTGTTTAGTTCTGTTCTGTATACCTGATGATCTCCCTTCTCAATCACTCTAGATTTTCAGTCTGTCTGACATTGTTTCCATCTTTGGAAAATATTAATTCATATTACAGTTGTTTCTTACAAATGGCCTATTTCACCTATGAAATCCTTCCTTCCTTCCTCCACTAGCAATGTCTTTAATGTAGTTTACAAGTATTTAAAAAAAATTAAAGTCAGATTTTATGATAAAAACAAATAAATGAGCTGAAATTATATCAGAATGTTAAAATATTGGAATGTTAAGACCTAGCAATAAAAGTAGTAAAAGCAAAGATAACATACGTAAAGTTAAAAATTTAAAAATATTTGCTCCTTATACTATTTTGTTGATCAAGGTTATTTATAGTCCAGTTTATGAATCTGAAAATAAATTATTCTCCACAATTGCAATAACGATGATATTGCACTGTATCAGCATTATATACTGGTGAAATAATGTAAGGCTTCATGATTTTAAGAAAGAAGTACAATTTATGTTGTGAATAAAACACTGCTGGAAGAAGCAAGCTATATAATTTTAAGCCTGTATTTAATGGCCACTGTTTATGCAATGTTTTATTCCTGTACATTTTGTTTTTCAATTCCCTCTGGTGCTACTGATTACTAATCCCCTCTCACAACAGTTCATCTGGAGGTTAAAATCTCTTGTGCCTTGGGTCGGGGAGTACATGTATACATGTGTTAATCAACTTATCTTTTTGAGGATGTAAGTGTTATTTCACATTTTCAAAATGATCACTGTTCAGGTCATCACCAGTTTTTATACCTTTTGCATTTCATTTTCCTATCTCCTCTTCCTATTTTAGCATCTGTCTAGATATCTGCTAATTTAGACCACCACTCTGATGAAGTGGGCTAAAGTCTACAAAAACGTACTGGCTTTATAATTTTTGTTTTCATAAAACTTGTTAGTGTTTTGTCTGCCACTAGACTCTTTGTCCTTTTACTGGACAAGTTACATGGCTAACCTTAACCTACACCTCTATTTCAACAATATGAACTAGGGGGGGAAATACCCTTGTGCACCATATTGGATTGGCAGTTGTGCCTGCCTTAAACATCAAGGTGAGTTTCAAAATCAGCTAGGCTAAAGTTTTGAAGTTGCCTGGGAGGTAGTCCCATTGAACTCAGCGAAGATCACTTTTGAGCAGAACTATACATTTGTGTTTCTGAAACATTAATGAAACATGTAGTATGCAAGAATATGCACATCTGGGAAATAACATTACCTCTGATTTTCTTATAGGGACGAGAAAAAGAGAGGGATGAAATAAATTATGAGAGAAAGAGTGATATATATAAAGACCTTGTTTCCTTTTTAAGAGAAAGATCAGTAGTTTTTGTAGAAAATATGGCTAAACAGGTATGTATTTTCTTGAATCTGAATGCTGCTTCCCAATACATGTCACACTATAAACAGCTTACAAAGTTGTGTAGCTTGGTTGTTGTATATAGCTGTGTCTCAATTTTAAGATGATTATTGTGCCCTTGATCTATTTAATTATGAACATGCTGCACAGGGAAGTTCTGCTTAATTCAGGGTAGTTGATTCATGTGTTGGAACAAGTTTTAAGCAGTTATCTGTTTCTGTATGGGTGTTTGTGGAATACATAGGATTTGATTTATTGTTGTAGTATAAAGGATTGCCATAAATATGGGATAAAAGCACAATGTTCAAGAAGTAATCCTGTAAGTTATAAAATAATTCTACTGGTGTTCATATGAAGTTTGTGTAACTGGCCATAGGTAATTGCAGCTAATTGATAAGATGCTAGGGCACATCTCAGTTGTACAATAGAGTGCATGATTTGGCATACAGCTAAGACACCTTGTCAGTTAACTACAGTTAGCTGCAGTATGTTATGCAAACCTTAACATGAACATCAATATGATTCTGGTCAGTTCTTTTTTAAATTAACAGCTACTTAAAATGGCTCAGTCACCTGGTTTCCAACTGAGGAAGGTGTGAATAGACGAAAAGTACCATAATTTAAAGATTGTCTTACCCAAAAGATATGTGAAGGTTTATTGGAAAAGAAATTGCTAGAGTGTTGTACAGTGAAGATGTTTAGTAACCTTAATATTTGCTCTGCTACTGAAAACCATATGTGATCCTGCAGCTTGAGTTTAAAATAGCTGGCATCCAGATTGCACTGGTGCCTGATTCCAAGATGACAGGTTCTTTTCCCCTGCCTTCCCTCTTTCTTGAAGCCCTCTGTACATGCCATCCATAAACAGGCTTCAAAGACAGTTTTGGAGTTGCAGTGGGAAGATACCCCCTCCTCCCAACAAAACCAGTTCTATCATCTGAAATACTCTCTTGGATCATGGCTATCCATTATATAACATAGATAATTTTCTTCCATTTTTGTGAGTAACTGAGCTAAAATGCTTCTGGGACCAGCATGAAATGTTATATTTTGTGTACCTGGTATTCTGTTAGTATATGCAGTTGGCTTTGGACTTTTGCCATGATCCTAAACCCATTTATTTTGAAGCTTTACTAATTTTAGGGGAACTTATTTCCCAGCAAGCTTAGGACTGCAGGAACTGGCAAAACCCTGCTGATCTTTCAGCCTCTTGCAGATGGTTTTCCCTTGAGCAGTAGTATAATTTTTAAAGCAGGAAAATATCATATTTTAATGGAAGAGGTCAACTGTCTTTGACAGTGCTTTAAATAATCAAAACCATTCCTCTTTTTAACTTCATTCCTTATGATTTAAATAAAAAAAGATTATTCTACATTTTACAAGAATTGTCTTTGATTTAAACATCAGACTTGAGTGGGGTCTTTCCAACTCAGAGAGCCATATGTTGTCAGTATGCTGCGGTAGCTCTGAATTCAAGTGTTATTGGCCATTCAGAATAAGAGCTACATTTTATTTCTTAGAATGAAGCTTGCTCAATTATTAATAATTAAAGGTACCATGTGGTTCTTACAATAAGCTATTGCGCTCAGGTTTTCCCACGATTGCAGTTACTTCATTACAAGCAAGTTAGAAATTTGCTACACTTTGCAGAAGAGGAACAAGATGCTTTGCTTATGAGCAGTGAGCTTTGAGTTCCCATTTCCTTGTTAGTAATTTAATTTCCCCAAAAGTCTATGTTGGGAACATCGGTCAATCAGTATTAAAGGAGAAGCGGGAAGGGAAACATGTAATGTTGTCAGACAAAAGTTTGGGATATTTGTGTTAAGAGACCTACCATAAGATAATTTGTAAGGTTAATTTTTTATTATGTAACTTGGATCTCCCTCAATAATAAGATTGTCAAAACTGTGCTTTCAATATTGAATCATAAGAGAGATCTGGAACCTTTATTTCAGCAAACATAAGATGGCTTCTCTACTAAACTGCTGGGTTTTAAACATAACAGAGGGGAGATTGTGGAGAATGCAAATTCTAACCTCTTCCTAGTTAGTCCATTTTGGATTGTATTGACTTTCAAATAATGGAAAGTCATAAAAATACTCAGTGAAGAGTTCTGCTGTAGTTAGTATACTTTGGATGTCCAGTGGCTATTAGTTTGCTTTCATATAGCTGCCTGTTGTGAAAGAGAATGCTGTAGTTCTGTCTTTTGTGTTGAACTCAGGGCTTATCTACATGGGTTCTTTTGGAGCAGCCTGGAGCAGGTTGCTTAAGATGAGGTAGAGGTGCTATCATTGCATGCAAATGGAATACACACCTGAAGCAACCCTGTTTGGCCTGCCTCTCTTAAGAAAACCACAAAAACAACAACAAAACCCTCTTTGTCTCCTCATCTCTCCACCTTTCTGGGAGGAAGTTTTCAATTTTTTCCCCAAAGTGGTGGTCTTCCTTTATTTTTTTCATCAGCACTCTCCTACTAGTCTTTTTTTTTTAAAAAACCTTTGTTTCCTTTATCATGAAGGAGCAGAGGTGTTTAAAATCCCAATATTGTGAAGTGGCTAAGCTGTCTTGTTAAGCCATTTAATGACATTGGGAAAGTCAAAGCAGAAGGGAAATTTAAAGCTGCGAGCTCTGCTTTGCTTCAGTCTCAATGATCAAATGTCTTGGAAACATATCAAAATGGAGCAATCCTTCCTGCAACAAAAAGGCAGTAGCTTCTGAAGGAACCCAGAAAGGTGCAGGTAGGAATGCTCTGAGGAAAAGTTGGTTCAATTAGCAATTATACGGTCTGATTCCCAGCAAAAGGAGTGAATCAGTCTGTCCCTGCAACAGAGCAAACAGTGGGACAAATGCCTGTAAGGCTCAAGATCAGCATGTAGAAGCCCAAAGCACATTGCAAACTTAAACTGGTTTAGTGTCACCGTTCAGGGGATTATCAGAAGTTACTCAGGTTTTGGATTTCATTCTCTAATTAGGATAGGATAGGATAATTAACTTGCCAAATGATCTCCTCCCCCCAGTATATTTTGTTTGCATCTGACAGTTGGACAAAAAATATGGACATTCTAAGGCTACTGCTGAGAGATTGCCAACATAGTCAGCCAAGCAAACATGTTGTTGCCTAAATGGAAAATTGATCACAAATCACAAAACAGCAGCATGGCCTCTGGGATTATCACACATATTCCTAAAATGTCATTCAGTCTCAGGATGGTTTAGGGGAAAGTCATAACTGTTAAACTATATACTTCTTCGTGGCCTCTCTGAATCACACCCAGGGTGTGAATCACAAAGGTCCACTCGAAGAAATACAATTACAGGATTACAGGTGGGTAACCTGTCGTTTCAACAGGCATCCGCACTGTAGTACAGATATATTCGTCCTTTGATTCTTTTGTTTTGTTTTTTGTTTTCACAAAACTTGAGCACTGTTAAGAAGATGAAGAATAGTTAATGCTTCAGCTTTTAAAACTTACTTGTTTTCTAAAAATGCAGAAACTCTTATGGTGGGAAAGAACTCTTTCTTGTTGTTGAAGGTTTAAGTTGTTGTGGATTTATATGTGGTGAAGACCACGACATTGTAAGTTACTCAGTATGTGAGGTCTGGAATAACTTTGTTTTATTACAAATCATATGGAAACTATGTCCAAGCCATTTTCACATTTCATATTTTTTGAGAGGAACAGGAAGAGACTTTCTGGTGTCTTAAAAATCCCATCTTCTGAATGTTATATTGCAAATGCTTTCAGTCTGAAAAATTTCCATTCTGTGGATTTTTTTAGACTATGTATGTATGTATTTATGTATTATGTAATTTATATACTCCTTGTATCGCAGCTGTGGTCTCCCTCTGGGGCGATTTCCCTGCACTAATTCTCCATATAGGAGATCCTTTGGAATCCGACCATCAGCCATTCTCACAACGTGCCCAAGCCAGCGTAGATGGCTTCAGGGATCTGAAGGCCTTAGGAATAGACCTCAACAGATGGGAAACTCTGACATCTGATCGTTCAGCCTGGAGGCAGGCAGTGCATCACGGCCTCTCCCAATTTGAAGAGACCCTTGTCCAGCAGGCTGAGGCAAAGAGGAAGTCACAAAGGAAGCAAAACCAGGGAGTTGGACGGGGGACAGATTGGATTTGTCTCCAGTGTGGAAGGGATTGTCACTCTCGAATTGGCCTCCTCAGCCACACTAGACGCTGTTCCAAGTCCTCCATACAGAGCACGATACCATAGTCTTTCGAGACTGAAGGATGCCTACTAATTTATATACTGTCCCATTAGTACAGAAGCACCATTCTGGGCAATATAACAGTTAAAACATATATTAAACAAACAATAAACGGTAAAATTAAAACACTAAAAACCAAATTGCATCAGAGACGGTTTACCAATAGTAGCAGGACAGGAGGTGAACAATTAGTCAACCAGGGTTGGTATGAAAGGCCTTGCTGAAAGCAGTGTTTTGAGTTGCCTCCTAAATGACAACAGAGAGGTAGCCAGGCATAGCTCCTCTGGGAGCTGGTTCCATAAGGACGGTGCCACTGTGGAGAAAGCCCTGCCTGTTGTAGAAGACTTTTGGGCCTCCCTTAAGGTGGCTACATGGAAGAGCCTAGTCTGTGAAGATCTGGTGGATTGGGCAGATGACACTGGGGAGAGACACTCCCAGCAAGTAATATGGTCCCAAATCATAGAGGGCTTTGTACGTGAGTTTCAAAAAACTTGAATCCAGGATACAATGGGTAACTAGTTAGGATGAACCTAAACTGGAGTAATGTGATTGAATTTGGTCACACCAGTCTGGCCACTGCATTCTGAACCCATGGTAGTCTCCTGGTCAGTCTCGAAGGAAATGCCATGTAGAGAGCATTGCAGTAGTTGATCTGGGAGATGACTAGTGCTTGCACCAACATCCTGAGGGAGCCTTCATCTACGCAAGAGCAGTGGAAGGCCTCTTACTGAAAGCTGTTGTAGCTACACATAGTAGTTTGGGTCTGGAAGAAGGGAACTATAACAAGGAAGTAATATTTGAATGGTGAGTTTTCCCCTGATAATAGGGGGAAAACGGGTCTCTGTTCTTGGCCAAGACTGGTAACACTGATTCATTGATCAAAGGGATATAGCTTGACCAATTAGGAGTTGCTTTCAGAACAGCTTGCTAACAGTTAAAATAGTACAATAAACACTGGAAAAACAATACAGAAGTAGAGCATTAAAATGTGAAACAGAAGACAGTTGAAACCACAGAATGAAACCAGACTCAGTTGGCACTTAGAAAAGCCTAGGAAAATATTTCTTCATTAAAATATGTTAAAACTGCCCTTCATTCTTATGAATGCTAGAGTCATGTAGACAAATATGACCCAAATCACCATAGAAAATAGAAGAGAAGAAAATTATCTGCATGATGCTGGAAAAAAAAATCTAAGAGCAGGTGCCAGACAAGCCTCCCTAAGCATCCTAAAGATGTGGTGGTCTAAATAAGATGGGGCTTTGAATGTTCTCAGACACTGTTGAAAAATCTCTCCCTCCACCCAGCTATCTGGATGACAGGGCATTATGGCCTCTGATGGTAAAAACTTTGTATCCAAACAAATAGATAGGGGACTTCTTGGACAATTAGATATTCCGGGTCCAAATAAGATGGGGCTTTGAATGTTCTCAGATCAAGGAATGAGTTCAGCCAAGAGAGCAAAAGCAGAACCTGTACGAAAACGTTTATTCCCAGGAATTGTTGGATATAAATTGCTAGACTCCTTTATTGTTCATGTTGCTGACTAGGGGTTCTGGACACTGAACAACATCTCAGGACCCTGGTTTGGGAACTCCCGCCATCTAGTGTATCACTTTCACCAACAATCTCACAACCAAGAAGGGTTGGAATAAAGCTTGCTTTCTAGCACATATGATTCACTGATAACTTAGCTACTCTTGGAAACTAAACTGCGTGTGATGTTGGATTAGGATTGTGCACAGCTAAAACTTTTGTTTTGAATTCTTTTTTGGGGGGTACCCCTTTTGTTTTCACGTTTTTGTGTACTGATTCTTTTGATTTTCACAAAATAGTCCACCTCTTGCAGGTCGTTTCGTTTCATCTTTTTCCATTCTTGTTTTGTGGCATTAGTGCAAAAAAGCGCTAAAGGACCAGGAAAAACTACCTCCAAAAAGCAGAGCCAAGGCAACAGAGAATCAGTCTGTTCCAAAAGCAGGCAACTGTATCAAAACCACCATCATCAAACAAAACAGTCCCCTACAAAACCACCAAAATATCGACTGTTAATAGATACCCAGTAAAATAACCAAATAACATTTTTTAAAAAAACTAACAAGGGAAGACACACAGGTAATCAAATATTTCCATTCACATCCTCCATTTTGGGAAGCTATGGCCAAAATCCTGTTTGTAGTATAGGCCAAGTTGTAATGTTCATTCCTCTCTGGTAAACAAAATGTCCCCACTGTGATTCTTGGGGGGCACACATGCATAAGCACATCTAATTTCTAACTATCAATTCAGTTATCATTGCACTGGAGATGGGGAATGTTTTTTAGACTAAAATTTCTAGAATACACCACCCAGTAGGGCAGGGGTTGTCAACCCCTGGTCTGCAGCCCGGTGCTGGTCCGTGGGCTTGCCGGAACTGGGCTGCAGATACGGATTTCCACACACCCCCGCACGCACGCGGGAGGGCCATGTCGCGCTCGCGGTGCCCTGCCCCCCCCATGCATGGAGCTTGCTCTCCCCAGCCAGTCCGCAGCTCCAAAAAAGTTGGGGACTGCTGCAGGAGGGTACTGTCTTGCTGATAGGTATTCCGTGGGTTGTAGTTCAAGAAGGTAGTATTTCTCACCTCTGCATTGTGCAATATAATTTTATATAATTAAATGCCTACTAAGAGCTTTGCTCTTGCTAAATGTTTCAGAGGACTTTGGGTTTGAGTTGTGCTTGATAGCTTCATATACCTTCAGTCAAGAAGAACAAGGTGATATTGCTATCAAGAAGCTTGCAAGTGAATATTATTGAGTTATCCTCGTGCTACCCAGTAAGAGAGGCAGCTGGCAAAGAGGACAGTGCTAGGTGTCTCCTGCTCTGGCTTTGCTGGCTGCAATCCTTATTGTTTGGTTCTGAGCTTTGAATGTATACCTTGCATTTTATTAACATGAGCTGCTTTGTTGTCATTAGTTGAAAAGCTAAATGCTTTTCAACTAAGGACAACAAAGTACTCAGTCCCTCATTCCTAATTACTCAGTCAGGGATGAGTAACATATACATACATGCATCTATGCATGTATGTGGGTGTGGGTTGACTGGTTGACTGGCTAAAGTGTTTTTTACCTACAATCTGTCAAAGTACATATCCCAGAATTGAGTACAATCAGTAAAACCACATGGAAAGGATCTAAAACAATCCATGTACTTTGAAACAGCTTAGAATGATTTAAAAGAGTTGTAAACCAGTTAACAATTCAAAGAAAACCAAACGCAGCAATGCCTTCAAAATGTGTTGTGTGATGCATTCTCTGCTATTGGTCTAGTAACAGCTGTAACTCTCCTCACCCCTCAGTTTGGCTACAGCTGATGGAAGTTCCGGTGTAACACCTGAAAGGCAATATGTTGGCTATCGCTGATTACTGCCACTGCCATTACAACCATTCTATTACTACTATTGTTTCTTCTTCCTTCTCCTCTCCTACTGGAGGCTGGATGCCATCATGACTATATGGGCAGGATGCAGCAGCTGTAAACAATGATGTTCTGTGGCATCCAAACCAGACTCCAAAGTTGTTCAGCCCTTAAGTGCTTCTCTGGGCACTGAGTTTCACACAAAGGGGTTTTGTGCCTGTGTCAAAAAAAAAACAAAAACAACTACAGTTGTAGGGAGCCAGCTTGTCCTTCTCCCGCCTGCACTTCTTTTCAGATTTATTTTACCTAGAGTAATCAGCTAACCACCTGTAGTCCTCATTCTTCTTTTAAGTGACCAAAGCATCCTGACCCTTCACGTTTCATCAATTTTGATCTTTGTTTTTTTTCTGAGTACTTCGTCAGTTCTTAGCCGCTCAATCTAGAAATTCTTAGCAACTTGTAATACACCTGTACATCAAATGCTTCTCTTTAAAAAAAATACTTTGTGTTAAAGTGCAGAGTTCCATGCCAGACAGTGGAACTAAGAATACACGGTGCTGTACAATATGCAACCTGAAAGTCAGATTTAATTATTAATTGCATATTTTTACTCTTTATCTTAAGGGAACTGCTGCAGGGTATCTTTTATTGCATGGCGGTACTCCCACTGTTAATTCAAATGTCAAGGGACTTGTTTTCATCAATAAGCTCCACATTTAGGTTTTGGATCTTTAACCAAATTTCTCAGTGTGCTTGCTTTTTAGCAATTACTATGAACTTGTTTTTCCTTAACATTCATTTTAATAGGTCTGGGGTTGTCACAGGCGGTACTCCCACTGTTAATTCAAATGTCAAGGGACTTGTTTTCATCAATAAGCTCCACATTTAGGTTTTGGATCTTTAACCAAATTTCTCAGTGTGCTTGCTTTTTAGCAATTACTATGAACTTGTTTTTCCTTAACATTCATTTTAAAGCAATGTTCATTATTTACTCTAGTCATTTGTATTCACAAGAGACTCTCCAACAATGTTCACAGGGTACAAACTGAAAAGCAGTGGGAAGCAGATATATATGTATTGTACTTGTCTTCGTGTCTCTGTGTTATCTACTATTGAACTTTCACTGAAGCTTTTTGTTGGTAGTTCAGATTGCCAATTATATGAGCATCTCTTGAATCAAAACCCTAGTTTACCAACGTTCTGTCAGTTTGCCATGCTGAACTTTGCCCCAAGTTTTTTTATAGTCAATAAAGTTGGCATACATATCCAGGTTTATGTCACAGCATGTCTTGCCAAGTGTGTTTCCTGACTTCAGATCCTTTTCTGAATCCAAATTGTGTGTCTCCTTCCCCTTATTTGCATTTCTTGTAAATTCTGCCGTGTATTATGTTAAAGAAAACCTTAAGCAAAGGGCTAGTGAAGCTTCTTGTTCTGTAGTCACTAAAAGGTTTGGCATTTTCCTGTTCTAGTAATGTCATAAAGCTCAGTCTCAACCAGATTGCAGGATTGATCCCTGTTCTGTTGATGTGATTGAAAAGATTTATTAAAAATCTTTATCTTATCAGCTTTAATACTTCCCCAGAACCATTATCAAATTCAGGAGCATTGCATTTTTTTTGTTAACTAATCAAAATTAAATATTTAGATAAATAAATGCATTCTACCACATTCTTAGTATCAATACTGGTTATTTTAATGCTAAAGTTACATTTACTCTTAGCTGATATTTTCACTGATTATTGTATTTCATTGAAAACACTAATTTTGTAATTTTTGTAATATTTAATTAAAATTGCAGTTACTTGCTATTTAATATGGAAGTTGCCTTTATTTTTAAAGCAGGAAAAGGGTGGATGTGTTTCAAATGTCAATTGAAAAACTATAAAACCAATCTGCCTGGATTTCCTCTGGCATACTAATTTCTATGCATGTTTTATTCATGCATTAAAATGTAATTTTCATCTCTTATTAGAAATATACTTTTTTCGATGAACCAAAGTATGAAAAACATTATCAACATATGGAAGCGGTTGAAGTAGATGAATATGGCCAAGCCCAAAAGTTTTACGACTATGCAGAAAAGAATGTCTTTGAGAAGCCTAAAAGTCCTCTTGTAAAAAGTAAGCCTGCTGACAGCAAGAAATTAGAACCATCTCTTAAGTGGAAGACCCTGCCTGGCTCTCGAGAGTATGTAATTCTTTTGAAAGATTCCATCAATTAATGTTATTGTTTAAGAAACAATGTTGTACATTTTAAAAAAATTAAATTAAGCTAAAAATTCAAACATTTTGAACAAAAACTCTATATTCAAAATCACTGTTTGAGCCAATGTTCATATTTATCTGCAGTATTTGTATTTACTATGTTCCATATCCTGTCTTTTGGCCAAAAGTTCAAAGCAATATACATAGTTCCCCCCTAATTATGTGGCATTATTATTAATATTTAGTTACTTTTATTTTTCACCTTTTTTCTTTTTTATTTATTCACAAATATTTATTAATGGACAGAATTCTTTCGGTTTCCTACCTTGGTCTAAATGCAGTGGTACTAATTACACTGATAAGTTACTGCTAGTTATCAAGTTAATGCTTGCATTCCTCATTCTGGACCACTCATGTGTAGCAACACATTAACCAGCAGTACCGTAATTTGCTTCTGCAAGTTATGCTATTGCACTTATGCTGGTGCAAGTACTGAATAGGATTCTGGTCAATTAGTATTTGGTAAATCAATAGATCTAAGCAGGTGCACAACAGTCAGCAAAAATGTAATACAAGAAACAGTAGATAAGATAATATATGATATACAGATACACAGTATTCAAATTAATGTGCCATATTTATATAGGTTTAGGCTTATATAGTCTATGAAATAAATGTTAGGTTTGACTATACAGGGAAGGGCTAGCATAATTAGGTATATTATCGATATGCACCTAAACAGAAAATGAGGGAAGGACATTTTACATAGGGAAACTGACAAACAAGTAGCATCAGCAGCAGAGCCTCTTCGGGCGATGTTTCCCTATTCAATCCTTATATAATCCTTATGAAGTAGATGACACTATAAGGGTAAATGAACCAAGCTAATACAGGGTTCAGACAAATTTGTTGTGTGGCTCAGATAGATGTGGATTGGAACTATGATTCCTTTCCCCCATAGATCCAGAATTACTCACTTGAAGCTTCCATACCTGTTTTTATTTTTTCTCAAATGTAATTTGAATTTCCACACTAACATGTCTTCACCCTTCCTGGTCCCCTCTCATGCCCTTCCCATTCTCTGCCCTGGCTCCACCCATTGGAAAGGATATATATAAGTCCTGCTCTTTTATGAACAAAGAGGGAGGGACAAATTGCTTCTGAACTTGAAGGGAAGAAAATGGAAGGAAAGATGCAGGGAACAAGATCCCCAAGAATTATTTGCAAGAGGGGACAGGAGGCCTTTTATTTATATTAACGCTGGAAATCCTAAATAGGCAGATAAGAGCTAATGAAAGAGTTAAAGGACTAAAAATTAGAGGCGAAGAATTCAAGGTACAAGCTTATGCAGATGATCTGGTAATAATACTTGAGAATCCTCAGGGAGACCTAGAGGAAGTATTGAGAATCATCGAAGATTATGGACAAGTGGCAGGTCTCCAAATTAATTATCAAAAAACATAAGTTATGATTAATAACATAAAGAAAGAAGAAGTTGGAAAACTGTTGAGGGAAATTAATTTTGAAGTAGTACAAAAAATCAAATATTTAGGAGTCATCATCACCAAAAAACTCAGCAACTTAATGAAAGAGAACTATCTCAGAATACAGAAGGAAATTCAGAAGAACCTGGAAGATTGGAGTAAGCTACAACTATCATTGATGGGAAGAACTGCAAAGATAATTATTATTTATTTTTATCATTTATTTTATTTATATCCCACCTATCTGGTCGGGTCAGGACCACTCTAGGCGGCTAGATCATCATAAAAATTATGATCCTGCCTAAACTTGTATTTCTCTTTCAAAATCTACCAGTATTATTAAATTTTAAATACTTTAAAGAATTGGATCGCCTGACAACCAAATTTATATGGAAGACTAAGAAACCAAGAATAAAACTTAAGCTATTACAGGACTTGAAAGAAAGGGGAGGTGTAGGACTACGAAACTGGTTATTATATTATAAGGCGTGTGCCTTATAATATGGATAAAAGAATGGATAACTCTGGTAAACCAAAGATTATTGAAACTAGAAGGGCATGACTTAAGCATGGGCTGGCATGCATATGTGTGTTATGGGAAATATAAGGAACAATTGCACTTTATGGAACATATTGTAAGGAAAGCATTGGGTCTAAATGGTATAAATTTCAAGCACAAACATACAAGAAAATTCCATTATGGGTAGCCCCTATAGAAGCCTTTATGTTGAAAGTGTTGAATCAGAAAGGGATGTTGTTAACTTACAAAGAATTACTTAACAGAGAACAAAATATAAAAAATAAGCAAGAATTAGAGAAACTAGGGGTGGCAACAGATTGGTGGTTATTGAATAAATTAGAATCAAGATATAGGAAAGATAGAAATTTGGGCTTTTTTGAGGGTGAAGTCCAGGTAGATAAACTGTGGATCCACACTGATGAGAATATAATAC